CCGCGGTCGACTATGTGGGAGTCCAGCGACATAGCCATTACGCTAACTGCTGGTTCCCAACCCAGTGTGTTTTTCAAACTGCTGGGTATGGGATTGGAACTGCACAGTATTTTTTTTTTTTTTTAATTACTCCAAATTCAAGTTACTTAGGCTTTAATAATAAAGTCTCAGGGCTAGCAGGTGGCATGGAGGTTAAGGTGCTGGACTCTCACATGGCTGACTGTTTGAGTTCTAGACCTGGAGGCTTACCGTCTTATTGTCTCTCTCTCTGGTGAGCACACATGACCTATAACAAATTTTTAAAAAGTAATAATAAATAAAAAACAATTCTTTAAAAAAAATTATTTATTTAATTCCATTTATTATTATTATTACTTTCTATTTTGACCAGAGAGACAGAAAGGGAAAGTGAGAAAGCCGGCAGGTGTGGGATTTGAACTGTGGTTGGCCGTTTGGGAGTCCAGCGCCTTTAACCACCGTGCCACTTGCTGGCCCTCGAATTAAACAGTTCTTTAAAAAAACAATCAGGTCTCTTTCTTTTCTCTTTTGGAGAGGTTTTTGCCATAGGGCCCGTGTGCTCGCAGAGGACAGAGACACAGAAAGCGAGAAATCACCCCCTGGGGAGATGGCCACGCCACAATCCCTTCTCCTCTTGGGATCTTGGGCACGCACGCACACATGCCCGGCGTGAGTTCTAAGCCACCGGGTCTGGGATGCGAACCACGGTCAACTACGTGGGAGTCCAGCAACATAGCCATTACTCTAACTGCTGTTCCCGATCAGGTCTCTTTCTTAAATTGCTCTTTTTTCTGAGTTTTCAGCCTTCACCACCATGCCACCACCAGCTGGCCCTAGAGAAGTAGATTGTAACAGGAGTAGAGGTGATCTTCGAGAGTGGCTTTAATTCTCACTAGCTGAACTTTTTTCCTTTCCCTTTTTTATCCCTTATTGTGTTCATAGATCAGAGGCTGCTGTGTCTGCGACTGGAGTCAGGGAGTTGGCCATGTGTGATCCAGTGGCCTTAACCATGAGGCCACAGAGCCAGCCCTGAAGAATGTTTTTTTGTTAGTTTGTTTTTATAGGTTTCGCCATAGGGCCTGTGTGTGTTTCCAGAGAGAGACAGAAATAGTGAGAAGGAAAGTGAGAAATCATCCCCTGTGGGGAAGGACATGCCGCAATCCCTTCCTTCTCTCAGAATTTTGGGCACCCATGCATTTGTGCCTGGCATGATTTTCAAGCTGCTGGATCTTGGACTTGAACCATGGTCACCCGTGTTGGAGTCCAGCACTTTAATCACTATACCACCTGCTGGCCCCCCGAAGAATTTTTTTTTTTACTAAAAGTTGAAAATAGTGTCATTGGATAGAAAGCTGGATTGAATGACATATTATAAATCTTGTAAGTCTTATGGTTTTAGTAATATGTTTTCTTTGTATTTGAGGTGATTCTGAGCTTGCTAATAAGTGCGTATTTGTAAATTTTACAGTTCGTAAGGTGAATTTTCATGAATCCTAGACATTTAGTGTAAATCATGCTTACTGGTAGCAAATTATTTTGTAGTTTTGATTTTTCACTGCATAACGCTAAGTAAATACTTCCTATACTTGGAAGGTTACAATTTTTCTTCTCTTTTTTGTTATTTTTTTCTTATAGTATGAAATTAATCTTTTGGAGCTGATCCAGAGGAGAAGAATAGTAAGTATACAATTTTCTAGAAGTTGTAAAAAAAACGTGGAATTAAGTGATGGGGCCATGTAACTAGAATTTGTGTTTGTGAAACAGTGTTGATAAACCATGCGGTAATATGCCAGTATTGGATATTGTAATGATTTACTTCATTCGTCAATATTATTAAACGATCAAATAGGAATGTTACTTTGGATAAATGTGATTAGGCTGAGGCTTTGTTTTTTATGTCCACTTTTAGCGCATTGGATATTCATTTAAGAAGGATGAGATTGAGAATTCTATTGTACACCGAGTACAAGGTGTTTTCCGACGTGCTTCAGCAAAGTGGAAAGTAAGTGATCAGCACATCCTTTTTTTTTTTTTTTTAGGTTTATTATTTATTTTTCTATAGGATATGTGTACTAGCCAACGACAGAAATAGTGAGAAGGAAAGAGAGAAATCACTCTTCAAGGTGATGACCATGCTATAATCCCCTCTCCATTTTCTTGGGATTTGGGGCATGCTCACAGATGCACTTGGCATAACTCTTAAGCTGCCAGGTCTGGGCCCAAACCATGGTCAGCATGTGGGAATACAGTGCCTTAACCATCATGCCACCTGCTGGCCCTACCATCTTTAAATTGAAGTAATATAGAGATTTGTATTATAAGTTGTTCACATGCATTATTCTATATTCTTATCTCGGGTATCTCAATACTTATTCTCATGACTACATTTTTTGAGTTACTTAAACCACTAAAAAACTAATCTCATTACCTTATGGTTATTCTGTGAGGATGCCGGGCAAACAGAGTTTTCAATATATTAATAAGGATAGAAAATCATCTGGAAGATATTTGAGTGTGTGAGTAAAATATTTATATTACTGAAGACTTGGAGCAGTAGCTCAGTAACTTGATTTCCTTCAACTTGGGCTCTGAGACTAGAACCTTCATTTGGGAAGTAGTCTGCCTTCTGTATCAGCAAGTTCTGCATCCTGAGATTCAACCACCACAATAGAAAGTGTGATGTGGGGGTCCAGCAGGTTGCCTAGTGGTTAAGGCGCTAGACTCTTACATGGCTAATCACGGTTTGAGTCCTGGACCTGGCGGCTTGAAACTCATGCCGGGCATGCATAGGTGTGTGCCCAAAATCCTGATAGGAGAATGGAGGAGAAGGGGTTACAATGTGACCATCCCACCTGGGGTGTGACTTCTTGCTTTCTGTCCCTCTCTGTCTGTCTCTCTGGTGAGCTCATAGGCCCTACAGCAATCAAAACAAAGCAAAACAAAAACAAAAAAATTCTAAAAAAAGAATTATTTAATTTATTATTATTATTTTTTAATTTGATGAGAGAGAGAAAGCTGCCAGGTCCAGGACTTGAACTGTGGTTGGCTATGTGGTAGTCAAGTGCCTTAATGCATCATGCTACCTGCCAACCCCCACAATTTTTTTTCTTGTCAATACAGGAATTCTTTTTTTTAATAATTATTTTATTTAGCTATTTATTCATTTATTTTAATTAGACCAAAAGGGAGGGACAGAGTGAGAGAGAGGGAAAGTGAGAAGGCAAGTCTCTAGGTCTGGGACTCGAACCATGGTCAACCATGTGGGAATCCAGCTTCCTTAACCACCATGCCCCCTGTTGGCCCCAAGAATTATTTTTCTTGAGCAGAATTTTTTTTCTTGAACAATACAAGAATTATTTACATAGCAGAGGTTTTATTTTTTAAGAGTTTTTTGCCTTAGGGGGTATACCTTGTTGGAGAGGGGCAGAGACAGAGACAATGAGAGGGAAAGTGAGAAATCACCCCCCGGGGGGTTGGCCATGCCGCAGTCCTTTCTCCTCCATTCTTCTCCTGGGGTCTTGGGCACACACACACACACACACACACACACATCTGTGTACGTTTCAGGCCACCGGGTCTGGGACTCAAACTGGTCAGCCACTTGGGAGTCTAGCAGCATAAGTGGTATACCATCTGCTAGCCCCACAGCTTATGTATTGAGTTAATTTGGAAATGATTTTAAGTATATAGGAGAAGGTGCTAGGATATGTGCAAATACTATGCCATTTTATGTAAGGGATTTGAGATCCATGGTTTTTCTGGTATCTATAAGAGGTCCTAGAACCAGTGTGTTGCAGATACTGAGTGACAGCTGAACTTGGGATTGACAAATTTTGTATTGCTACCCCTGATTGAGACCATTTAAGAATTGCTTTGAACAGATTGGATAGATAACAAATTTTGGAGGATGAGGGGTGGGAGTGTGGGCAGATTGATTTGTCAAGGTTAAGAGATCCAAGGTTCCCATGAGAAAGGGCCTAAATAGACTGAGGGATGTGGTAACACTTCAGATCTAAAATCTGCCTTGACTTTTAACAAACTTCGTGCAAAGATAAGTTTTTTTTTTGGAGAGGTTTTTGCTATAGGGCACGTACGCTCACCAGAAAGACAAAGAGAGACAGAGAGACAGAAAGCGAGAAATCACCCCCCGGGGGGATGGTCACACCGCAATCCCTTCTCCTTCATTCTCCTCTCGGGATCTTGGGCACGCACGCACACGCGCCTGGCATGAGTTTAAGCCACTGGGTCCAGGACTTGAACTGTGGTCGACTACATGGGAGTCCAGCGACATAGCCATTACGCCAACTGCTGGCCCCAAAGGTACATTTTATAAAGGTCAAATTCAGGCAGCTTACTACATTGTTTTTCTTGCAGGATGATGTTCAACTTTGGCTATCCTACATCGTTTTTTGTAAAAAATGGGTGAGTAAAACCGTTTTGCTCCTTCCTTCTTTTCTATTGGTCTGCTTCTTAAGTTTCATATCTGATGACTGAATTCTCATGTTTTTTCTAAAGGTATAAGGTTCATACATAGGAAAAAGCTCAAGAATGCTAAACTTCAATGTAACATTCGTATATCTGAATGCCTTTATAGTGGCTTTTAAGTCAGTTGAAAAGAAACCATTTTTATGTGAGTATGTTCAGTAAAGTTGAAAATCTTTCTAGATATTTAGAATTTTTATTTTTATATTTAAAAAGAATTATTTATCTGGGGGGCGAGCAGGTGCTGTGGTGCTTAAGGGCACTGGACTCTCGCATGACTGACCATAGTTCAAGTCCAGAACCGGGCGGCTTTCTGTCAGGAAAAGCAGCTCTTTAAATTATTTTTATTTAATTTTGTTTATTTATTCATTTGTTTTTAATATGACCAGAGATAGACACAGAGAGTGAGGGGTTGGGGAGAGAGAGGGAAAGTGAAAAACAAAGCCACTGGGTCCAGGATTCAAACCATGGTTGGCCATGTGGGAGTGTCCAGCGCCTTAACCACTAAGCCACCAGCTGATCCCCAGGAAAAGCAGATCTATTTTTTTTTTTTTTTGGAGAGATTTTCACTATAGGGTGCGGTGCGGCGCCTGCGCTCGCCAGACAGACAGAGAGAGACAGAAAGCGAGAAATCACCCCCCGGGGGGATGGTCATGCTGCAATCCATTCTCCTCTCAGGATCTTGGGCACGCACGCACACGTGCCCGGCATGAGTTTGAAGCCACCGGGTCTGGGACGCGAACTGTGGTTGACTATGTGGGAGTCCAGTGACCTAGCCATTACGCTAACTGCTGGTTCCCAGGAAAAGCAGATCTTAACCCCTCACTTTCCTTTGCTCTTTCACCCTGTCTCTCTGGTCAAATTAAAATAAATAAATAAATAAATGAATAAAGTTAAATTAACAAAATTATTTAATTTTATTTTTAAATTTGCTACAGGGTATGTATGCTTATCACAGAGAGACAGAGAAGGGTGCAGGGGAGTGAGAAAGCAAGCTACCAGGTCCAGGACTTGAACTGTAGATGCCCATGTGGGAATCCAGCATCCCAACCACCATGCCACCTGCTGGCCCTGATACTTGGAATTTCAAAAAAGTTTTCTTTCTTCTGTGAGTGAGAGAGACAGAACAGGAAGAGAAACAGGGCATCGAGAGAGCACAGGGCCTCAACAGGGTCTTCCTGCCACGTCCACCTCCAGCTTTAGCCAGTTCTGGATATGGGCATGTGTGTGCCTGGTGTCCTTTTGGAGGTTTCTGGAGGCAAACCCAGAACCTTGCTCTGGGCTTACCATGGGTGAGCCTTGCAGAATATTTTTAAAAGAATTATTCTGTTTATTTATTCATATTAATTTTCAGATTGATCAGAGAGAGACAGAGAGAGAGAGGGAGGGAAAGTGAGAAAGCAAGCCACCTGGTCCGGGACTCAAACCTCAGCTGGCCATGTGGCAATCCAGCACCTTTAACCATAATGCCACCTGCCAGCCCAAAGACTTGCAGAGTATCACGATACTGGTTTGCCATTGTCTGGACTCTCAGAATATTTATGTATAATGGTCTAAGTAGAAGGAAAAATAGAAGTATGTGTATATATTTATGTATATACACGTATTTGTATTTTTAAAAAATTTTCCAGCGGGCATGTGTGCTTGCCAGAGAGGAACAGAGACAGAAGAAAAGTGAGAAAGCACCCCTCACCCCCCCCAGGGGGTGGTCACATTACAGTCCCTCCTCTTTCGTGTTTCTTTCTTTTTGGGATTTTGGCCATGCATCCACGTGCATTCTGTGTTTCTCTAGCTTCTGGACCTGCGACTTGAACCTCAAACAGGGCAGTCAGCCATGTCAGATCCAGCTGCTTTAACGTCCACACCACCTGCTGGCCCAGCCCTGTATTTTTGACATGTCTCTAGAATAACACATCGTACTCCCTTGGGTTTTATAGTTGGTTCAGGGTACAGTAACATTACACAGGAAATAGAATTTTTTTTCCTCTTTTACAGGCTACCAAAGTTCAACTTAGCAAGGTGTTCTCTGCCATGTTGGCCATTCATTCAAATAAGCCAGGTATGGTGAAATCCTTGTTAGTCTCTTATCTACATTAAAAAATTATTTTATTTAATTTTATTTATTCATCATTTATTTTCATTTGACCAGAAGGAGGGAGGGAGGGAGGGAAGGAGAGACAGACAGACAGACAGAAAATGAGAAAGTAAGCCACTAGGTCCAGGACTTGAACCGTGGTTGGCCATGTGGGAGTGTCCAGTGCCTTAACCACCATGTCCCTATCTATATTTTATTTAGACCCAGTCATTATGGAATTTATTTTGCTTGATAAACCTAAGAAATGATTTTGAGGACTTGGGCTTAGGTGGTTGACCTTGGGTTTTTGTTCCTGAATCACTGTCTTTTCATTCATCCCTGCCTGTGCTGTACCAGGTATTGTGCCAGCTATTGTATCTGTGGGCTGGAGGGACTATATTTTGTTTCCACTGATGGTAAAAGAAACTCCTTAGTCCTTTGCTGGACATATTATTTGGAGGCAGTCAAATTGGAAGGTTTTTAAAAGCTTAAAGGAGATGATACAGAGTTTAGAAGAATGACAGGCATAGAGTACATGCTTAAAAGGAAGACTCCTCTCGTGTACAACGTGTAGATGGTACATTATTTTGTAGTGACAGTGCTCACCTCTGCACTTTATATGCCACAAGACAAATGGGTCCCGTGTGGCGCTGGTTTTCTCAGAAGCTTACAGCAGACAGCATGAGGTGTGTTTTCTCCGCAGACTGCTCTTAGCATTTGGAGGCCAGTCTCAGGTTCCCCAGGACCGATCAGGTGTGAGGGGACAAAGCTGCATGATGAGTAGGGGAGGTACTCTGGCCTGCAAGCTCCATGGCTGGATGTAGCTTCCAGAGAGCCTAGAAGCTCTGTCCCAGGAGTTAAATGCTCCAGAAAGCCCAAAGTAATGACTTGCTAGCATCCATGGCTCTTCTAGTCCAAATGTAGCTACTAGTTATGGGTCATTTTTCCTAAAAAACAGGTACTTACTAAGTTTATTATATATATATATTTAAGAATTATTTTATTTAACTCTATTTAATTAATTAATTAATTAATTAATTAATTTGACCAGAGAGGGACAGAGCAAGAGAGAAAGAGGGGAAAAATAAAGCAAGCAAGCTGTCAGGTCCGGGACTCAAACTGTGGTCGGACGTGTGGGAGTCCAGAGCCCTTAACCACTACGCAACCTGTCAGCCCCCCCACGTCTTTTT